GGGTTTTTAAGAGGAGGTTGGATGACCACCTTACTGGGGTCATTTGACCCCAGTGCTCTTCCTGCCTTGGCAGGGGGTCGGACTAGATGATCTGCTCCGGTCCCTTCCGACCCTAGAAACTATGAAACTATGAAATTATTGAGATTGGTGACATTTAATCAATAGTGATCATCTGTATAACTCATTCAAAGCTTCTCTGCTTGTGGATATCTTGTCATCACAAATTCATGCCAGTAAACTCCTTATACCACATCACACCTTATACCGTACTATTGTGTATATTCTGTAGGTAGTTAGTATGTGCTTTGTTCTGAAATATGCAGATACAGATTTACATACATATTATTAAAGTCAGCAATATAGACAACTGTTGGTAAAGTTGCAACTCTGGTTCCTCTGTTACTTCCTATTTGTATCCACTCATGGCTTTCTAAAACCATCAGTACTTTTGCCTGCCTGGTAGGGACATTGAAAATTAAACAGTTCCCTTCATCTGCTTACTGACTGTAAATGTTTTGTTCTGAACTTCAGTTTGGAAGATAATTTTTAAAAGGGCTGAGCCTTTAAGTTTGACATTTTACAAGTGTATAAACCCTAATAGGGGTAAAACCAATAGTATTATAAAGAAATTGATCTAAAACACCAAAAGGCTTCATGAAATTCTGTTCCCACTGAATTCAGTGGCAAAGTTTCTGTTGACTTCAGTGGGCAAATACTTTATTACAGAGCTTCACTTCTCTCAGAAACTAACATGTAACCACTAGTGAATATAATAAAAATGACCAAGAACAGAAGCAGATTCCAGAGCCAAATGCAGACATGACCTAGCTGGTGGCATAAGTTGTGTTCAGCCGGGTGTCTCCTGCTGAGAAAGGAGACCGACAGAATTGTAGAAGGCAAAGCAAAACTGTAACTGGCCGTCTTTATCTTACACCTTCTCTGTAGCACCACAATGCTTTTTCCTGCTCTAACCCTGCCTTGCTGCCACCTCTCTGCCAAAGTTGCACCAACTTGTATTCATTCACACAAATTCATGGATGTAGCATTTACATCAGCATTTATATCACCTCCCACCCTTGTCCTCATATATATGAACTGGTACATGTGAGGGAGGCAGCTTTCTGAATCATACAGATAAGGGGAATGCAATGTGACATTGAGCAGTTCTTTCATCTGCACCTTGGCAGTCCTCTTAGGGCAAAGTTCTTCTTTGATCCAAGCTGTGCCATCACATCCTGGGACCTCTATTACTCATCTACATATGGGAAGCTAGTGTAGAAGTTCCTCATGTAAAAACTAGCGGAGTACGTGCAGCAAGGATGCCAAAATGTTTTCAGCTCCACAGAAATCAGAATAGTATCCTGGCAGAATGGTCGTCGGCTCCACTGTGACATTCTTCAGAATCTCTCTCTCTCTCTCTCTCACACACACACACGAGAAAGGATGCTTGCATTATATTCTACATTATATAGTATGGGTGTTATAAAATAAATTCAGTGAGACTGAACAGCACTTTTGTCAGAAGCTACCACCATGTTGTATCATATTTGCTTAGCTAATTATCCTTTGTTATGTATTCCACAGGTCCAGCTACCCAGCGCCAGGTGCAGAATGGACCCTCTCCAGATGAAATGGAAGTGCAGAGAAGGTAAAAGCTGCTACTTAAGTTTAGTGAATTCAGGTAGCTTTACATTCTAGCTTTACATTCTGCAAGTTGATAGCATGGATATTCCTTATGTAAAAAGAAGGAACACCATGTTTTCCATATTTAACGTGTTGCATATTTTATGCAGCTAAATTTTACCGTGATTCTGACTTTTATGTAATAGTTCTTAGTGATGACCAGGGAGCCTGGTTTTCTCTGATTAAAAAAAAAATCCCCAATTTTCACATAAAAAACAGTAACCCAAAATCCACATTTTTCTGTGAATAAAATGAAATGCCACATATATATAAGTGTTTTAGTGGCATTTCATTTTAATCATGGAAAAATGTGGATTTTGGGTTACATTGTTTACATCTGAAAATTGGGGATTTTTTTATCGGAGAAAAAACAGGATCGCTGGTGATGACTGGTAAAGAATTGAAATCTTGTGGAAACCCTGAACTAGGAGGCACTGATGTCCAGAGATAAGGAGGACACTTGTTTAAAAGCAATGTGCATAGTATTTAAGTGGGGGTTTCTAAAGCTTATTAAGGAAGCTTAACATGATCCAGTGTGGAATCAGGTGTTAGTGACAAGATCAGGTTTCATAGTCCCACCAGCAGCGCATAGGCCTGGTGATAACTTGGTCCATTGATTCCAGTGCCCGGTCCTTAATGGGGTACAGTTCCTTTTATTAGTATCTTTCCCTGACCCAGGATAATAACCACGTGAAAACTATAAATAGGAGTTGGAGACCCCAATATGAGCCTTTTCCAGGTCAGGTCAGGTCTTACATGTGCATCTTGCCTGTAATGCCACTATTCTCCTCTTCCCCGTCCTCTGTCTTCCCTCCATTTTATACGTATGGCTGCATATTGACAGCCAACAGGATTTCAGGTTGGGATGCTCTTGTTACCTACTTCACCTGTGACTTAGAGGAGGTTTCCACGTCAGTGTTAAAGGGAGCCAGAGGGCTTCATTCGCAAGCTAAAGATAGATTTTTGAGCCTGCTAACCTACCAGAACACCCAGGGTGGGAACAGATATTACCTTTCTTTGGCTTGTGCCACCCTAACAGCTTTGTGGTCATAACACAAAAAACAATTGCTGCTGCAACAAAGTTGAGATTAATTTGCATCACTATTTGACAGTGGATCTCTGCTATATAGGAGTGGAAACCTTCTCTTTCCCTGTTTATGGAGACATACCCTGGAGACCCTGGGGGTTGTGTCTCTGCAAGCAGGAAACCCAAACTTTCTCTGCTTACAGACATGTGGCCCCTACTCCCTGGGGAGCCTCTCTGTAAGTAGAGAAAGCCACATCCAGATATGCTCCATAGTGAGGAGTCCTTTACTCTGGGAGTTGTCCTTAAAGCATTCATGAGGTCCTCCTCTTCAAACCAGTGTGACTATTTGTGTGTATAAGCACTGCTCAGGTCTGGGGGAAGGAACCCTTCAAACTGAGCACCAGCTTAAAACACAAGAACTTCCTGTGTCTAAATTGGGTCCCTCTCTCCTGGGGAGTGCTGTCCACCTGCAGTTCACCAGCAGTCCCAAACTTCTTTACTAGCACAGCTGGGCTGGGAACTTGTTGTTAGTGTTTTTTGCTTCAGCCCAGGCCATGTGACATGAATGGGGTGTGTAGCATTGCCCAGAGTCCAACTACAGTAGGGCAAACTCTTTGCAGCCTGTCCTGAAGAATGAGATCTGCCCAGAAACATAAATAGAATTTGCTCTGTACTTTAGAGAGAAAAATATCCATGAAAATGTGTGTCCCTTTCTTCCTTTTTCTGGCTCCTTCTTGTAACAAGCTATTTAAGATGACAGAAAATGCTTGTGTTTTAATTGTACAACTGAGGTTTCATCAGTACAACTGATGCAATTGTCTTGGCTGAACAGCTTGTAACTGGCAAATGAAAGCAGGAGATTAGAGATGAAGAAGGGGATGTAGATCCTCACCTGGTGCAAATTAGGAGAGCTCCCATGAAGTCAGTGGTGGTATGACAATTTAAACCAGCTGAGGCAATGCCATTAGGTGGTTTTCCTGTGAATCTACAATATTTCTTCCATATGCATTTAATGGTTTTCCCAAAATTGCGCCATTGTGTACTGTACTCTGTGATTTTTGTGTGTAGGAGTTGCATGGTAGTTTTCTATTATGAATTTGGTTTAGGATTTATCCCTGGATAAGAAATAATCCTAATTATGGTTATGTCTGTCTCTTCTAGTGATTTGGAACCCAAAATGTAGGAGGGTTTGTTAGAAAAATTAAAAGACTTAACCTTTTTTTACATACCCAAACAGAAATTCTCCAGGTGTTTCTGCTTAAAAATTGTAAATTGCACGTTAAATCAAAAAAATTAGAAATAATATAAAATGTAACAGGGTGGTCCATGTAAAGCTTTCCATGGCATATCGATTTATTATAGGCCAATCATCTGTGGTCCAGGTTATCCTGTGAAAAGAATGAGGCAGAGGTCCTGTAGAAAAAGTAGCTTACCATTACATGCTTAGAGATGTTGTTATAATGCATTTGCCCAAAAGGAACAAATTAAGGTTGTACAGGCAACATTGGTTCTGGAATTTCCTAATCTTTGAGGGCTTGGCTTAGCAAATTAACATTTTTTTGTGTGTTCATTAACTTATTTATGGAATTTCTGAGTCACATCTATATGCTCTTGCAGTGTGTAGTTCATGTCCATGTATATAGTGAAACAACTAGCTGTTTTTACCTGTTTGTTGTTTGAACTGAGCACAGAAATGTCAAGTAAGAGTTATCACAGTTACAGTAAAAAATTCCTTGTCTTCAAGACGGTTAAAGTGTGAAGGAGAAGACCTCTAGTGGGAAATTTGAGGAACTGCTACTCTCAGAAACGTGGCAACTTTTTAAATGCTGTTTGCTACTCACCATAATCACGGTTTTAATAGTAATTTTGTAGCGTCTCTTTCCTACCATGAGCTGTAAAACTTTGCCTGTAGCAGTAATGAGATCAACAGCTTGTTTATAATCATGAGGTTACTAGAAATTCAGCAGAGTAATTTTGTGAGCACTGATTATTGAGACAACCCCCAAACACTGGATTTCTAGGCAAGGGGCAGAAACCAGTATAAGTGATAAGCAACCAGTTCAGATCCGTGACACAACAGAAGTTCAGTGCACAGACCACTTTCAAAAGGGCCAAAACTGGTTTTAGTTAAACCTGGATGGATGTACTGTAGTATCAGACTGAACTGATTTAGGTTAAATCAGTTTATTGAACTTCTGTGTTAAATTCCCTCCAGATTCAGAGAAATCATAGAAAGTTAGGGTTGGAAGGGACCTGAGGAGGTCATCCAGTCCAACCCCCTGCTCAAAGCAGAACCATCCTGAACTAGATCATCCCAGCCAAAGCTTTGTCTAGCCAGGTTTTGAAAACCTCCAGGGATGGAGCTTCTACCACCTCTCTGGGTACCCTGTTCCAGTGTTTTACTACCCTCCTTGTGAGAAAATTCTTCCTAATATCTAACTTAAATTTTTTGTGGTGCAATTTGAGACTCTTGCTCCTTGTTCTGCCATCTGCCACTACCGAGAACAATCTAGTTCCATCCTCTTTCAAATCCCCTTTCAGGTAGTTGAAGGCTGCTATTAAATCACCCCATCAGTCTTCTCTTCTCTAAACCAAATAAACCCAGGTCCCTAATTCTTTCCTCATAAGTCATGTCCCCCAGCAACCTCACCATTTTTGTTGCCCTCCGCTGGACTGTCTCCAATGTGTCCACATCCTTTCTGTAGTGGGGGA